GCGTATGGTTTACAGATGGGTGTGAACCCGTCGTGGTTCGAGGCATTCAGTACAGCCATGAACGAGGCGCATATTCCAGGAACACCGTCAGCTGGAGACCTTCGCGGTTATATGATTGATTCGCCACGTGTTGGTGACTCAGCTGTACCCGAGATGCTTCTCAAAGTACTAGAGCCTTATCGTAAAGAAGGTGGTTTTTTCTATGCCCACTCGATACTAATATAATATTACTTTATGCGAGCTTAAGAATTTAATGAATTTTTGGTCTTCCTCTACATATCGTGAAGGCGGCCTCCTCGATGAAGACAGAGTAAGGCTGTACGCTAAAATTGTTAAAAAAGGGTCCACTTTGAGGTTGGCATTTGCAGCAGCCATTTTTGGCGAATCCATGGAAGCGCTTTTCTGGCTGCAGTTACCTCGTGCTCTCAACCACTTGATGAATAAATTGGTTAACAAATCGGCACAAAAGGGCCCACGTACAGCTCATGCTCCTGAAATTGACGAGGCGTCCATGTTAAGCAGGATATCTTCAAAAGGAAAATCAGTCCCTGGAGAAAAAAGTATTTTGGTTAGTCAAATTGTCCGATCAATTAAAAAAAAAAAAAAAACCCGTCTTTGCTGGATATGTTCGTGTTAATTTATCGATGATATGCGGTAACTGAGATTCTTTACGATGACTTTCTCTCAAACAGGGAAATGGTCAACTTAAACTGATGGCTTTTGAGCAGCAAGAATTGTGGGAGCGTGCTAACGAACGTATCTCGTGGCATGAAAAATTGGAGGGTGAAGAGTCGATTCAGAACCGTGTACACGAGTAAGTTTTTACCTTGATACATAAACATTTGGAGAAACTGAATTATACGTAACTTTTGACGCAAACAAAACAAAATACGTGTGCCTTACTACGCTCTATCTCCGTCATGGTCAGGCTTGTGTCGGTTGGAAACTTGGAAGCTGCTGTTAGTTTGCTGCTTTCGACTTCTCCAGAGAGCTCTTACTTTTACGCAAATGCTCTACGAGCCGTCGCTCTTTCTTCTGCCGTTTCTTCGTCTCTACTCGAACTCGCTGTGAAGGTAGTTACTTTTTTTTTTTTTTTCGTTTTTTAATTGTGAAGGTACTTACGTATCTCTTCTTAACTGCCTACTTTCCCCATTGATCATACTGTTATAATTTACTATTCGTCGATAGGTAGTTGCAGCCAATATGGTCAGAAATGATCGGTCGATGTCCGGGACCCACCTGCTTTGTGCAGTAGGGAGATATCAAGAAGCTTGTTCTCAGGTAGAGTTTTATCTTTCCATGTATCTGGCATATTGTATGTACCTACGGGTGGAAATTGGAACTGAATTTCCGATTTCCGCCTAATTAGATCCGAATTTTTCCCATTTTGGAACAAATTTTTTATTCCAAATTCCGATTTTTTTTTGGATTGGAATAGGAATATATACGAGATTCCGATTTCCGATTCGATTTTAATTTCCGAAAATTCCGATATTTTCCGGAAATTACACTTACAACACCAATATTATTATGCATTTTATATTTTTGGTAAATATAAAGTTGGAAATTTCGAATTCCGCTGATTCCGATATTTTCCGAAAATTACACTTATAACACCAATATTATTATGCATTTTATATTTTTGATAAATAAAAAGTTGGAAATTTACGAATTCCGCCGATTCGGATCCGAAAATTTCCGACTTTGGAACTAATTTTTTTTAATTCCAATTTTCAAAATTCCGATTTCCGATAATGGAATTGGAATAAATTTTTCACTCTCCGATTTTTAAGGGAATTGGAATTAATCTTACATGCAGTTTAAACTCTCTTGCAGTTGCAGGATGCTGGATGTTGGACCGATGCCGCCACATTAGCTGCAACACATTTAAAAGGATCTGATTATGCAAGGTTTTCTTTTATCGCTTATCGCCTTAATTAATACCTAATTAGAATTACAATTGCCAAATTATTATCCCTTCAAATCTCTATTGTCGAAAAATTTCTTCCACGGCTCGACCAAATACTATGGCAAAATCCTATTTCCAGATCATGAAAATTCTCAAGCGACGAAATTTGTAGAACCTTATTTTATTTTTTTAATTTATTATTTTTTTTGGAATGATCCACAGGGTGTTGCAGCGATGGGCTGAGCATGTTCTTCACGCGGAACATAATATCTGGAGGTACAAAAAAAAAAAAAAATAACATATTTGCCTATTTTATTTCAACCTTCATAATTGACGACATATTTTCGCAGGGCGTTGATCTTATACGTGGCAGCTGGCGCGTTACAAGAAGCACTAGCGGCACTTCGCCAAGCACAGCTGGCAGACACTGCGGCCATGTTCTTACTCGTTTGCCATGAAACCCATTCTGAATTTTTATCCCGTTTAGATTCCGACGAAGAGGCAACATCTTCTTTCAAGGATAAGGTTCCACATTTGCCTGGACTGAACCCTGTTGACGAAGACGTTGTCGCAGTCGGTGAATACTTCGGACAGTACCAAAGGAAACTAGTACATTTGTGCATGGACTCTCAGCCTTACACCGATTAAAATACTTATGGCGTCGCTTCTATTTTTTTCTCTGTGCGCGCGCATCTGGCAATTAAATCGGACTTTCTCGAAGAGATATAAGCTGCTTCTGTTATATCATACAATTTCTGGTGGTGTGTGTATATATATATATATATATATATATATATATATATATATATATATATATATATATATATATATATATATATATAATCGGTGTCGATAGCGTCCAATAGCACACGGCTTTTCGAACAGGTACTTTGGACTTTGTGAGCACATTTGTATATATACGAATTCTCGGGTACGAAATTTGTAAGACTGCTGTCGACAAACTTAAGGATTGAATTTTCAAGATTAATTTGAAAGATAATTTCTTACAAAAATATAGTTATAAATAAAAGAAACAAATATTATTGTGCCTGAAAGAATTTATGGTCCCGAATTCGTTTAATACAGAGATGTTGTCTTAAGTGTTATGGCACTTAAATTAACATGCAGCGGAATAATAACTATATAGAGACAATACTCAGATATTTAAAATGTTCACAAGTAAGAACTTGTGAACTTGCCCTTTAGTCTTTACAGGACGGAAAAATTATATTAAACAAACAGTATTTCAAGAATACAAATGGAAGATGTACGAAAACTTCTTCCTTATGAATGAATCATTCTCATGATCATTCTTACATTCAAATCTAGATACAAAAAGAGAAATATTAAAAATTCTAGATTTCAAATAATGTACTCGTAAGGAGTACGTACACTAGATCCTAGAAACACTAAAACTATCGTAAATAGATTTCAGCACTCGGTTTCTTTTGTTTCTTCGAATCCATCTTTCTTGAGTCTTGAGTTTGGTATTTATAGACTTCCCAAGCTTCTACTACTCAGTCCATGATCTGCAAGATAACCAACCACAAGAGCACTCAAGATAATAGGTTAGTGGGTTAGTTATTAAGTTAGAAATATATCCATAATTAAACCCACTAAGTCATAGCACTTAGTCCACTAACACATAACTAAAATTTAATTTGAAAGTAAGAAAGTTAAAAACAAATAATCCACGTGTTTCAATGCCCTTAAACATAAAATACTCCGATTTAATGATAATTTGCTTGGAAATTAAGTCGGAGTAGCCAATCATGCTTAAAACGTTTCTTTACTAGAAAATTTGTCTGTTTGTTATGGATTGCAAAATTGACCACTCTATAATAATCCAAAAATAAATATTTTTCAAGTCTGATACTTTCTAGTGTATATGCTCTTAATTTATTTATTTTGTTTTTTATCGAACCAATTTTGAGAAAAATGTATACTAGATTGTATTACCAACGCCAACGTTGGACGATATCCGCGCATCACGTGTAAAAATAATGTTTCGTGATGTAAATGATTTATTTAATAAATAATTTTAAGGGAAACTCGAAATATTTAAAATTTTGAATTTAAAGCTAAGTTTAAGTCTTTTTATTTATTTATTTATTTTTTCCCGATTTAAAAATCAAGTCGTTCAATTTATAATATTATTATTCCTTATTTGACAATCGATATTTATATTTTTCATATATGTGAACAATAGATTAAATTGGGTATCTCACCCTAGAAGATTCGCTATTTCAAATTCTTCACCCTTTGTTTCTTCGAGTTCGAATGAGCTTTTGTTGAGCCGAAAACGAGTCAAGTGTAGTTTTTGTTTGATTTTCGGCGTACTCAGAAATGTATCATTTAATATTAATATCTCCAATAAAACGTAAGAAATTAATTGAATAAAAATTAACAAGAAGCCCTAATAAATAAAACATCACAATTAAGAGAGGTAGAGGGGGCTTGGAGTGTACCAGATTGGATAATAGCACGACGAGAAAGTACGATCCTTGTAGCTAAAAATGCCGATGTCATGCCCGCCGTAATCGATCTCTTGACGCACGTGGTAAGTGTCGGTGTAGTAAATCGAATCCGCCTTCAATTCACCGGCATCAATGGCAAAACTGTGATTTCTACCGATAAAAAGGGCGAGACCGTCCAACGACCGATTCATGTACCTCAACGATCCACTATCCGCGTCGTATTTAAATACATCGAAATCGATTGTTTTGTGATGGGGATTGACAAAGCAACCGTCGGAGTCCACGTATACGCATACGAACCTTTTCACCACAAAAATTTGGAGAGAAAGATCGTTGCTGCGCCTGTCCAACACGGCTAGCCACCCGTGTGAAGACCCGACCAATTTATAGTCTTCGACGGAGAAATCAAATTTTTTTTCTCCGGCGAGGCTCAACACTCTGTTCTCAGAGAGGCTGAAGAACTTGTGAACCACGTCGCCGCCGCATCAGCCACGGCGAGATCTTTGAGGGCGAACTCAACGGAGAACGGAGAGATTCACCGGAGACGCTCAAGGTGCTGATCGGAGAACGGAGACAACAGCCTCTCCGGGAAATCCATTTCGAAACTCCGGCGGCGGTGCCTTTCCGCGAAAGAAATGAGAGCATTGAGGAAGACATATGTCTATAGCAGCCACCAACCCTATAATTCTCTAGATTTATAATTCCAGACTATTTTCTCACGTTGTGTGTGTGTAATCTAGTATTGTATATTTCCTTCATTTACAATAACTTGTAAACCAAGAAATGTAAATTAAACTAGGGCATAAACTATTTATGATGGTCTACCAAAAAAATACTTGGCTACATTTTATTGCAATAAAAACCAACCACAGGACAAAGCAATATCAAATGCCATGTAATAAATTTACCTTATTCTCACTATCAATTTCAAGAAAGTATAGACCAATAAAAATAACCGAAAAAAACGCACTCACAAACACGAAATTAATACGAAGGGTAGTACCCGTAAGGCATAGAAGTATCGTAATAACTCGCAATCTTAGCAAACCCCATCGGCCCTTGCATCCCGTTGGTCGAGTACTGCTGCCACCTGTGCTGCTCTTGAGCCAGCAAAACTTGTTTCCTCTCCATATCAGCAATCTGCACGTAAGAAGGTGGAGGCACGGATAGCGATGCTGCAAACGGATCTTGTTGACCGACCGGTTTGACCGTTCCGTCAGGTGCGGGCAATGCCAGCACTTTATTATTCATCATCGCGCCATTAATTCCAGGCAACGCTACGCTACTCGCACTCCCACCATTACTCGCGTGTTGCCTCACTTGTGTCCCGTGATCGTACATGCCGTTCAACATTAACGAATCGAACCCCCCTGCTAAATCAGCCTTCTGTATCGATAAATTGCTCGAAGAATCCACCAACACCAACTCCCAATCGGATCTACCGTTTTCCACAGCGGGATTCTGCCATGCTGATGTGGCTTTAGCATCTCCATTTGTCGAAAATAAAGCCAACGCCAAATTATCGCCCTCTTGATTATCGAAGTCTACTAGATTCACAAGGTTTTCAGTAATTAGCTGCTGATTTTGATGTGGCTGAGGATTGAAATTCTCCGGTGGAGGAAGAGCTTTGATTTCGTTTATTGCATTTTGTACTGTCTCTTCTTTGGTTTCTTCTTCCCTCGTTTCGTTAGGGCTCTTTTCTGTAGTTTTCTTTTCCTTCAAGACCATTTCGAGTGCCCTCAAAATCTCGTCACTAATTTTCTGCACTTTAGGAAAATCCGACGGAGTCGCAAAAACCAACTCCAAATCCTTGCACCAGCTATAGAAACCGATAAGTCCATCCATTATTTTTGCAGCCTTAACATAAGCATCGAAAGCCCTTACGCAGTAAACATATTTCAGCTCATGAAAACAATCTTGAAAATGCTCCAACACATCGGTTACGTCACTGTAGACTGCAAAACTCTCCTTCACAAGCACTTGCAAAGCCACGAGCACCATTCGAGTGTTTCTCGCAGCCCCTCTCGGCCTACAAGCCAAGAACCGGTCAAGAAGCTGAAGCTGTAGATTCAACCTCTCTACAACTCTAATAAATCCCAACTCATCATACTTATTCTTCTCCCCCTTCTCCTTGTCATCATCATTGTTACCATTACCAAGAACCCTCGATTTTTTCAGGTCATACACAATAATCTCGAGCTTCTGATCCAAATACGAGGCGAAGCTCACCAAGAACCCCGTCTGCTCGAACAAATTCGTGTTATGCGCTTCGTCACGAAAATCAGACATATTCAAAACCCTCGTACCCTTCCAGCTGGCGAACATGAGCTCCTGCCCGAAAAGAGGGTCACCTTCACACAACAGCCTGTGCAGCAGCAATAAAGATTTTAGTGCCACTATCCAATCGCGGGTTTTTCTCAGCCTTTTGGAGATTGCAAAGAGGCAGGCTGTGATGTAGAGCTTGGAGGATGACATCATCGTCAGAATGTCGCGGCCGTACTTGTCGTCGGCCGGCTCGTCGACATGCGATGTGGCTTTTACGATCAAGACATCGAGGTAGGGGGCGGCGGGATTACCCGCCACTTTGGCTAGGCTTATGCTTGTCTGGTCCTTCACTGCCCCTATTGCCTTCCTGATTGTGCTTGATGCCATCACTATAACAATCTATCAATCACAATTACCAAAAAATTCCTAAATTTTTTTTCTTTTCAATTTTGTTGAAATTATGCCAACAACTGCACCAATGTAATCTCGGTTCCTCTCTGATGATTTCTAATTCAACGAACCCACAAATCAACAGTGTAACTACAAACAAGATTCTCGCATTCAATTTATTTAAAAAAAAATCGGTCAGGCATTTTCACATTCATCTTCTCCGCATGTATCATTAATTGAAAAAAAAAAAAAAGAGTGAAAAATGGGCGAGCGTGATCTTAGAAACACTCGATCTTTTGACAGAAAAAATAAACATACGAAACGTATAAAAACTACATATATATAGTGTATGTATAAATAGAGTAAAATGTTTCGGAGAAAACTTACGGTGAATGGGCAAATTCCGATGAATATACTGCGATCGGAGGGTAATTGAGTGATCAGGCGACGGCCGACGGTGCCGGAATCCCTGATTATATGCAAGTATGAATGTGGATGTGTAAAATATGTTTATTTGTGTGTGTGTGTGTGTACATCTATATATATATAAATTCACATAATTAAAGAGGAGCTTAGAGTGGGGAACGAACGAAGAGTAAGGATCACTGTGGGAAGAGAGAGAAAGAGGAGAGAGAGAGAGAGAGAGAGAGAGAGACGCAGTGCCACCTTTGCAAAATATATAGTAATGGAGAAACGTCTAATAAACCTCTTTGGAGTTGAACTTAATTTTGTGCATTTAATTTTATTAGGATAAATTACAACCACCCCTAAGGTATGATCAAATTACGAGAATCCCCTCTTGTTTGGATAATTACATCTACTCCTCTGAATTATGAATTTTCTTACACCTCCATCCTTATAGTGTCAAATTCAAAATAATCTTCTAGATTCCGTGGAACGTTCTCTAATTTGTACTTGTTTTATGCAAAAATGCAGTTTCTGATGCATCACAATCTGATGTATACAAGCCAAAAAATACATCTTACGATCATCTTGCATCAAAATGTGGAGTTCAAATGGGATAAAACGGTTACAAACTTGATAGTATTCAATATGATTTAGAAGATTCCATTCAATTTGACACCACAAGGGTGGACGTGTAAGAAAATTCATAGTTGAGGGAGGTAGTTGTAATTACCCAAACATTAGGGTTTTTTTTTGTAATTTGACCATACCTCAGGGGTGGTTGTAATTTACCCTAAAATTTTAATTAGCCCGATATAAAAGTCCCCAGATTAATATTAATTTTTAACCAGTCTATAAGAATTAAGATTAATTATACGTCAATTTAATAAAGTTAAGGTTAATTTAGGAAGATATATCTATTTAATAAGTTAATACTATCAATTTAGTAAGTTATGCATCAATTAGTTAGCACTAATTAAGAACATGAAAAATAAATGACATTGAAACTGACAATCTGAGAATTTCACTATATCAGAAATACAGTGTGTAAATACAAATTATAATATTACTAACAAAAATTGAGCATTTGATCCATTTAGTAATAATAATACAAAAGGATTAATTAACTTACAACATAAACCTAATTATTACCAGATATTCATAAATATCTTCATTCAATTTCCTACAGTACTGCTCACAATCAAAATCTGCCTCTGAATTCTCCAGTCACAAACTTCTCATGCATTCACGAAAATCGAAAAAAACCCGAAGCAATTTTTTCTTAAATTATGTCAACTTTATGATCTCTATGTCGAAGTACGAACTCCAGATCGACGAACGTGTTTATATATTCATTGCGAACGTAAACAACCTCCCGGCAAAAGAAACCGGAACTTTTCTGCATTCTCGATCAAGTATGCCGGAACGTGCACTGCGGAAGCCGACTTTGGAATGGGGCCCATCTTCTTGATCAACTCCTTGAAGGAATATTCCTCTGGCAACATATCGAACAAATCGTCCCCTCTACAAATCAGCTTCTGAATCCTCGAGTACTTCAAAAACTCTCTATGCCTAACCCTATCTGCGTGACTGTACGCAGTCATCTTGAACACGAATTCCCGCAAATACCGAAAGCAGAAGCTACAATGCCACCCTGCGTCGGAAAGAATGACGTCCGTTTGTCTCGAATGGCGATACTGCGTCCAGTCGTTGTATATGTGGGCTGTTGCCCGCCAGCTGCTGTAATCCACAGGAAATTCGAACGAGTATAAGTAATTCTTTAGTTCGAGGTGGAGGACAGGTGGCACCCCGTCGCACCACCGGAGGAGTTTGACCGTGTGAGGGCTCGGGATTTCGTCGGTGTCCGACATGATGAGGAGGTCGCCGTTGGAGATGCCCGCGCGGCGGAGCAGGTGGTTCATGGCCACCCGCTGCTCCGCCTCGAGCTCGAACGGGTCGCGGTCCGACCCGTATGTCGCGACCCGGCCCGGGAAGACGGAGTGGACGATTTTGCCCTCGGCGAAGGCGAATCTTTCTCGGTTGGCGGCGAAGTGGAGGGGCTTCGGGATTCCGGTGAAGGTGGTGTTGGACTCGAGGATGACGAACTTGTGGACGTGGCGGTGGAGCTCCCTCCACCGGATCTCGAGGAGGTCGAGCTCGTTGCTGAAGATGACGGCGTCGAAGACGCGGCGGGGCTCGGAACGTGGGGTCCACCCGTGGAGGCGGCAGAGGTGGTCCGTGGAGACGTTCTCCGCGTAGTAGTGGGGTAGGTGCTCGAAGGGGGGCGGGGGTTTGTCCCAAAGGGGGCGGAAGAAGTAGGATATCTTTTGGCCGTGTGTGAATATTCCGATTATGGAAAGCGGTACGAGTATTAGGAGTAGAATGAAGAGGAGCTTTCGACGGGAGCGTCTGAAGGTTGGCCGGGGGGGCCGGGGGGCCATGCTACGGAAGACCTTTATCATGACCTGCGTGTATATAAAGAGCGGGGGTCAGACAAGAATCGAGAGAATTAAGAACAATGCAGTTTAGATTAAAAAAAATGCGTTAAAAACAAAATCACAACTTTTAGGCTGTGTTTGGATCGAAGGATTTGGAATGAGTCCAGATGGGATGGAATTTGAAATCGACTACAATTGCTCATAAAAACAACCGAAACTGAGGTATGAATTTGAAATTCCGTGTCAAATGAGTCGATTGATTTTGATTTCCTCCCTAAAATCCTCCTATCCAAACGCATCCTAAAAGGTTTCTTATCGCAGAAACAAGAACTCATAATAAACCTAAAAGTGCACGAATAACTCCAACTAGTTATAATAGTCAATTATCAACATTTCTTCGTGGTTCAATCGATGCTCGACTCGGTGAACTTCACTAGGTTATATATCCGCTATCCTATCATACAGTAGTACGTGTATAGATCCATACATATTTTACACACATCCACTTGTACATGTGTGTAAATCAAACAGTTTAAGGAAAAAAAAAACAGAATCTTTGTTAGATATCCGTTTAATTATACACACAATTATATCTTCAATTATTTATTTTTTTCATTTTTTTTTTTTTTTGTAATAATTGCAAAGTGTGTACAAATGTATGTATAAATGGCAAGGAATTAAATTCATGAGCATCATTAATCACACATTCCATACATGAATCTCTTGTACGGAAATACACTCAGCTGAAAAAAAACAACAAAAATCTCTGATCTCAAAATACAGCTAAAAAAATTCAAAATCAAACAAAAGGCTCAAATCAGAATCAGATATTGAATCACTGTCATCATAAAATCAGCTCAAAAAAAAGAAAAAAAAAAAAAGAAAGGTCAACCTGCAATTCATCAGGTGAAAAAGATCGCATTTTTATTTTGTAAAAATTGGTAAATTGAGCGAGATTGTTCATAAATACGGATTGTATACCTTTCATTGCGAATCCGTATACGAGTATACAGAACCAATATACCGGCAGCGGGTCTCGTAAGATACGGACATTGAACGTGTATCTATATGTGTATGTATATCTATTTACAGAGAGAGAGAGTAGAGAGAGAAAGGGGGGAAATACTACTTCGAGGAGAGAGAAAGGGGGGAAGTGATTGAGATTGGGGTTCACATGTGGTTCCGTATTATTTAAAAATTAAAATAATTATTAATTGGGTATATAAGAGCAACAAAATATCAAATATACTAGTAGTTCATGCAAAAAAAAAAAAAAAATTAACAAATATGCAAACATATATGTGAAAAACGCATTAAACATGTTTATACATATAAATCTCATGAATAAAGGATGAAGAAATAACATGAAAATTTTAAGCTTAACCAAATAACAATCTGATATTGTATCACTTACTTTGAGTAATTAATTTAGAACACGAGACGTCGATTCTTGCGCACGAGCTGATGATCGTCGGGAGATGTTCTTGAACACAAAGATGATGATGGTTGAACGTGGGAAGAAGATATGAAATAATTGAATGCATGTAAAAGAGAGGTGGATGAGTTATTTATAATTAAGTAACTAGTATAATCCTTGTTAGAGTATAACTCTAATTTAGATTAACTTATTTTAATGGACTTATGAGATTATTTATTTGTAGAAGAGTTGTGTTTTGTGTTTTGAGTCTATTTGGTTGTTTATCACAATTTAGTTTTTAATCTTATTAAAGAAACGTGATTGTGTTTGTAATATTGATTGAGGTTCTCGTTTTAATAAATTGGATAATGAATAGATATATTAACTAATAAAAATAATAATGTAATATGTAGCTATATATAATATAGGGTAAATTATAACCACTCCCTGAGGTATGATCAAATTACGAAACCCCCCCTCTTGTTTGGATAATTATAATCACCCCTTTAACTCCTCAAATTTAGTGAAATCTTCGAGATTATATAGAATATTATCACTTTTGTACCCGTTTATATCTCATTCGAACTCTACATTTTGAAGCAAGATGATCATAATATGTGTTTTTTGGCTTGTATATATCAGATTGTGGTACATCAGAAACTGTATATTTTTACACAAAACGAGTACAAACTAGAGCACATTCCACTAAATCTAGATAATTATGTTGAATTTGACACCTTAAAGGTGGAAGTGTAAAAAAAAAACATAGTCGATGGGTAGATATAATTACCCAAACAAGAGAGATTTTTTTGTAAATTGACCACGGCTCGTGGGAGTTTGTAATTTACCCTGTAATATAAGAAAGTCTTGCACAAATATAATATGTTTATACGAGATTGATGACGTCATCAAAAAAACAGTAAACTTCATGTTTAACCCTTTTGACCGAAGTTGACTATTCTAACAGGGGATGTTTGTGTAATTTTTTACTAAGAGGGGAGATTTTTGTAATTCAGTATCTAACAGGGTGTGCAAGTGAAATCAATCCTAATTAATATAGTAATTCAAAAAACAATTTCTTTTCTTTTTGTTAGGAAGATGAGAAGATGACATTGTTCAAATACGTGATTCGAAGATCAAAATTGGGCTTTTCAAGGCCCGTAAATATAGTTTCCAGTTATATAATATATTCCACTTATTCCAATAGCCCACTACGGAAAGCATTTTAAATCGAATATTTTTTGGACTGAAAATGAAACTAGAAATTTAAAAAGAAATTATAAATAATTTCTAGAATAAAAAAATAAAATCATAAAATTTGGGCGAAATTTTTAGTCCGGGGACAAAATTGTAAAATTTCATAAATTTAAAAAGAAATTATAAATAATTTTCAGAATATATTAATTTCTTTAGAATTTTTTGATGAAATTTTAGAGCTTGGCTCGAGGAACTTATGCAAACCGGCCCTCACGATATTCTGCATCTAGCTATAGTGACTATGTGGAAAGCCTGGGATAATAGAAATAAGGATGTTCATGGTAAAGAAATTATGGCGAATGCCGACATTCTTGCATGGGGAACATCCCTCTTGGCGGCCTTTTCTCAAGCACACTTGCGGGACCAGCCTATCCAACCGGCAGACCACCCCGCGAAATGGGAACCCTCTTCTCCGGGAACTTTTAAAGCGAATTTCGATGCAGCATTTCCTAAAATTTCACAGTGATTTAATATTTCAGTAGTGGTTCATGATTGGTGCGGGAACTGTATCTGGTGGTGTGCTAAACGAATCGACGAAAGACCAAAGCCGGTTGAGGGAGAAGCCTGAGCAGCTCTTCATGCTATTACAAAATCAGTGGACACGGGATGGCCCTCGATGATTTTTGAAGGTGATAATCTCCAGGTTATTGAAGCCCTACGAGAGGGCTCTTCGACTTTGGTATCTCATGATGCTCTTATGAAGATTGTTTATTCCTAGCTTCTAGATTTGATAACATTTCTTCTGAGTTTGTTAAACGGGACGGGAACGCTCTCGCACATGCTATTGCAAAATTGTATTTTAATTCTAGTATTGAAGGTTCTGACCTTCCCTTAAATTTAGCACACGTTGCCTAATAAAATTCCATATTTTCCTCAAAAAAATATACATGTTCCTCCTTATAAAATTCTGGTTACACCACTGTTTCGCGCATACATTTTTCGAACTTCTGTTACATAATTTCCTTACACAATTGAAAAAAAAGAGCAAAATAAAAACATAGATCTATTTGCAAAATACTCACATGAACATTACATTAAAAACATTTAAAAGAGATACTCGTACTAAAATCAAATGCCATTCTTTTGCAATTTTATACGTTGCACCGATTGGACGAAAATTCTGCAAAGAAAAATCATATCAAATCGTTATAATTAAACCAAACAAATTACCATCTTAAATACTTCTAAGTTCTAATAAAAATATTTAAAAAAATAAAAAATTATAATGTTTAAATGAAAATAAAATTAACTTACTCCCAAGGTACATCTCTTGCGAGCAGCCAATCACCTTCCTTATCTTGATATGTCACCTCGTATTCCTCTACATGTTCTTCACCTATCATATATAACACAACACAAATTAATTAGATTTCTAAATAATAATATTAATAATAATAAATAATAAAAAATTACTTTAGTAATAAGAATATTTTAACCAAAAAAAAAATCATTTGATTATGAAGATTATTCATAAGAAATAGGGAAAATACGTTTTCGTCCTTCATGTTTTCATTGATTTCACATTTGGTCCCTCGTGTTTCAAAAATTCAACATTTTTAGTCATTTCCGTCATTTTTCTGGTAGAACTAACGGAATCAAGCGTGTGTTCATAAATGCCTTAACTAACAAACTAACGGTAATTAATGGAAATGGCCAAAGGCAGTAAATAATTGTGACATGAAGGACCAAATGTGAAATCGATGCAAAGTTGAAGGGTAAAAATGTAATTTTCCCAATAAGAAATGCTTACATTTTCCGAACAAGGCCATGAGTTTGTGTGTGAGTGTGTGAAAAGACTGAAAAGTCCTCAAATCAATCTTTCTCGCTATCCCAACTCCTTCCATTTTCACTTTCACGTACTTCGAATTTAATCTACCACCACCGCCGCCGCCGCCGCCATTCTCAACGTTGACATAGTTGGCGGCGCAGCCGCGGCGGCGGTTCTGATCGCAAAACTGCTTCCTCCAATTCCTCACCGGCGGCCAGCCCACCACAAAATCACGATCTTCCTCTTCAGCGTTTCTATTTAATTTATCCAAATCACATCAACAATCAAATTAAGTAATTAACATTATACATACATACATACATATATATACATACATACATAATTAATTGAAAAACAGAGATATGATTAATTTCAGCGTACCTATTGAAAACATACAATTTCTGAGCGCGCGTATCACACACGTCCCATGTTAACAGTGGCAGAGTTTGAAACGGTGTCGTATCTACATGTTCGTGAAAGGCACCCCC